GTATAATCTATACTAATATTATAAAGCTGAAGAGTTTGTTTGTTTGTTTTTAACGCGCTAATCTCAGGAACTACTGGTCCGATTTGAATAATTCTTTTAGTGTTAGATAGCCCATTTATCGAGGAAGGCTTTAGGCTATATATCAAATAGCAGCGGAGCACCATGAAGAATGTTTCAAAAACGGAGAAAATTTTTTACTATTGAGAGACGCAGACGAAGTTGCGCGGGTCAGCTAGTACATGCAAAATTTATAGTCAACAAATGCAAAAATTTTAAAGATTTGTCGTAAAGACATGTTTTGTTCGCTTACATTGCAAAACCCTGGTTAAACCTTACGACAAGACATCTTAAAAAGATATACAAAAAAGTCGATGGTATATGTCTATCTCTAAAGGATAACCCAGAGTAACCATTTTACCCAGAGTAACGCCAAGGACAGGCGCAGAGTGGCACACCGTGTGGTTTTAGTCGGTTTCCCAGTCCGACACACCACCCCGCCGCAAACCCCGGTAGGGTGACGGTCCGAGGGATTTCCACACGTTTTAAAAAAAAAAAAAAGAGTAACCATTTTTATCTTTTAAATATTGCAAAGAAATAATGGGTTATTTACGAAGCTATTTGAAACAATACATTATTATTTCTTATCCAATTCAATACGTTAAATACGTTGTGCATTTAATGTGGATTACAATTGGGCCGTTACGTACGTACTTCGCAGGACTCAGGATCGAGCGGGCCTATAAATATTGCATATAAGATGTCCTGTAGTATCATCAACAGCCTCTACTAGTCCACTGCTGGACATAGGCCTTTCCTTAGAAAGGAGGTTTTGGCCTACTATACCACGCTGGCCAGATGGTTGGTATAGGGTGGTGTTCCCGGATCCTCCTGTACAGGCGCAGAGTGGCACACCGTGTGGTTTTAGTCGGTCCGAGTCCGATACACCACCCCGCCGCAAACCCCGGTGGGTGACGGTCCGAGGGGATTTCCACACGTTAAAAAAAAAAAGGGTGTGTTTCAAGTTTTCCTTCTCTTTGCAGTGCTGTTGTCCTGCGCTGTTTATTCCCTCAGTCGGCTCTTACGACACCCACGGGATGAATAGGGGAGGTGACACTCAGTATTCTTATCCGTCACCACACGGATATCCTGTAGTATAGTCCTATCATAATAATAGTAAAATTTATTACTCCATACTGACACCACAATAGCAGTATTAGTAGTATCTACATTGCACCCGTGCGACGGATCGCTATTAACACATAAATTAATGGATTAAACTCACACACACAACAAATAAAGCAATTTGAGTGAGAGAGGTTATCGGAGAAGAATCTCTAACCCCTTATTCTAAACGCACTCAAAGGCAATGTCCATGCACATTTGCAACTGAAGAAACAGAATAACTTGTTTCTCTTCTGTGGTAGGTGAAAATAATGTTATTGCGCGTGTGCGTGTGTGTGTGTGTGTGTGTGTGTGTGTGTGTGTGTACTGCACAACAAGTGTATTATCGCGATAACCGATATAAACGCGGGGAGACCCGTGGGCAAAATTTAGACAATCGATATTGTTCACCAATTTCCAAGCCATGAATTCACTTACAGGTAATTGGTGCAATATTCTAAAACCAATTAATTTACTATAGATGTTTGATTAGATGGTAGCCGAGGCTCACGGTTGCTGCGTACAATTATTCCATCTCCAGTCTATGATTCAGCGAAATTACGCTATTTGGGTTAGTAATGCTAGCTCGGTATCGGAATTCAATTGATATCACCTAGGTAGTTATATGTAGTTCCGTCTGGTGAAGGATTAAGAATAGGGAGTGTCATCATCCCTATTCATCCCGTGCCACATTATGGCTTTTGACCGAAATAATGGACAGCCTATTTTAATAAACGGCAAAAGTTTTCAATGGAAGAGGAGAACTCCCGTGCGACAATTTAGATTCAAACGTAAGATATTTGACATTAAAGTATTCTATAGAAAATATAAAAAATTTTTACTTTAAAAAAATAACACTTTTTATTGCTTATAGGACATGTAATTATATTAACAAACATGAGTGCTTGCAAACAAAAAAAAACCTCAATATTTTTTGCCTAAAAAGAATTAAGAAATTTAGTTTTTTGTTGTTTCAGGGTTTTTTTTTAATTCCTTTATAAGGAAGAATGTGGATCCTATTTTTGCTATGGTTACCGTTTATAACAATATGCATCACAAAAAAAAAACCAAAAACAAATCCAAATTCCGTAGCATTTAGGAACCACACATTTCTAAAGTCGCAAAGTCACTAGATTTCGAACGTGAATAAATCTGTAAGTAAAAATATTATAACAATCAATAGGTAAGCCAGTATATTCGTGGCTCAGTGGTAGCTGACTAGGTTAACACTTTACAAAGTTAAGCGATCCTAGCCAGGTCAGTCTATGGATGATTGAGACTCCTCCCTGCCTCGGAGAGCACGTTAAGCCGTCGGTCCTGGTTACCATACGAAATCTGTGGCAATCGTTACGGCTAGTTTGGAGCTAAAATGTCCGTGTGGTGACGGATTAAGAATACGGAATGTCACCACCCCTATTCATCCCGTGGGTGTCGTAAAAGCCGGCTAAGGGAGCAAACTACGCAGGACAACAGCACTGCAAAAAAGAAGGAAAACTTGAAACAAACCCTATACCAACCCGTCTGGCCAGCGTGGTATAGTAGGCCAAAACCTCATTTCTAAGGAGAGGCCTTTTTTTTTTTTTTTTTTTTTTCCGTGCGGAAATCCCCTCGGATACCACCTATCGGTGGCATGTCGGACACGAACCGACTAAAACCGCACGCCTTCGCCGGTACTAATAGCCGGGGAACCAGGTATACCCTAGAAAGGAAGGCCCTGGTGCCCCGACATACCTCGGGTCATCTACAGACGAGTAGACGACCCCCGCCCCGTGTGGGAACCCCATGTTCCCTGTGCTCCCTGAAAGCGAGCGCGCTTCGCAACGCGCTCGCCGCCACCCCCGGCCTGCTTCTGCTAGGGTGAACAGATGGCCTCACCTGTCACCCCCAGGCCTGCGCTTATGGAGGACGGAGGTCGTTCTGCGACCTCCGGCGCCTGAGTCGCCTGCGCTGCCTGGCCCGTGCCCGGGCCTGGCGGGCCGGGAGAGTTCTAAACCTCTCCCGGTTCCCGCTCCGCCGTCTCCTTCGCGAGCATAACTTGCTCGCAGAAAGGAGACGGCAGAGTTTCCACGCACTCTCGCTCCGCACGATAGCCGCAATCAGGCTATCGAGCGAGAGAACTCCCACCTCCGATGGCCGCCACGAGAGTCTCAGCCTCTGCTCAACCCACGCCGGGCACTCTGCCAGCGTGTGGAGAGCCGTGTCCACTGTCTGGCCATCGCAGTGGTGGCACTCAGGCGTTGGCTCCTTGCGGATCAGGACACAGGTGATCTCCGAAACATCCCTTCCCAGTGATCACCTGCGTCAATCGGTATGAGAGGGTCCCGTGACGCCTCTCGAGCCAATCCTCCATAAACGGGTCTTACCGCCGCAATGACGGCGTGCCCATCTAAGGAGAGGCCTATGTCCAGCAGTGGACTGTTATACTCGTAGGCTGTGATGATGGTTGATGGAGCCCTGAAAAATTCGAACTTGGGTTGTGGAAGTTCAATGGGAGTCGTTCCATGTGAAATTTGAAGTTCAGCCGTATCCTATTAGACATAAACTGACTCCAACCTAGTTCGATAAAAAGACTCGGAGGAAGAAGGTCATCACATCAGGCCATGGACATGGCGTTAGTCAGTCTCCAATAGGTGACCCGTCTCGTTGAATCATTAAAAAAAGTTTGTATATTTTTTTTTGCCGTCAAACAAATGTATCGCAAGATATTTTTCGTTTAATGAAATATTAAAATGCAGAGTTTTATTAAACATTTCACGAACACACACGCTTTAACACATCACGAAAGAGGATATGTTAAAAAAAAATTTTTTTTGCATAGCAATACTCGTATAATTGGCACTTCGAACTAGCGACATTTAATGCACCCACTTGTAGCCTTTCACGAAAAATGTGTGCACACTCGAGTGATGTTTTTTATCGCTAATTGAGGTTGCCACTCACTGCAGTTTGTTGTTCACATATGTTAAAAATATAAAAAACTATTGAGTGTTATCTCATTATATTTTTTAGAAATGTGTATAGTAGGTGCTAAAGTTTGCACACGAAATTTTTACTCGGAGTAGGTTCTTCATTAATCTATTTTCATACTTATGTGACAAATGTGAAAGTGAGTTTGTTTATTGCGCTTTCACGCCTGAACCACTGAACTGATCTTAAAAATTCTTTTAGCAATGGAAAGCTACAATATCCGGGAGTAACATAGGCTTTTTACCGCAATAACCGACATACACGCGGGCGGAGCCGCAGGCAAAAGCTAGTAATTACATAAAAATGATAAGGTGGTTTGTGTACGCATCAAAAATTCAATAAGCTTACACCGATTGAGCTCCAATTTTGACACGATATAAAAACCACTTTAAAGATTGTTTGTAAAATTCAAATAGGTTAAACTTATTTATTGCGTAGAAAATAATTAATTACATATACAGTAATTATATCCATACTGTACATAATATACCTATAACAAAATGTATTTGGTAATATTTGTGCGTTTACATACACAGTACACTCTCCATTCAAGATTTTATTATTATTAAAATTTATTTTAAAGAGTTATGATGTAACTATATATTTTTTTAATATCGTGAAGTCTCCCAAGTCCCATACGATTAGCTTATTACCATTTAATCATCTAATTAATCTTATCCTTAATTTCAGCTGAATCGTCGAAAAAGAACTCAACCAGAAAACAGACAAGAGTTAAACGGATACATCGCCAACTCCACGGTTTACGTCACTTTCCATCAACGAGAACGGTGCCATTGAGAGCAAGCCGACCATCTCCTCCCCGAAAGCCCTGCCAAAGTCCCTCCAAGCCAAACCAGCCCCTCTCATAGCCAATGGCATCAATAAAAAAAAAAGAAGTGACCAAAGAAGAAGATAAAATCGAGCCAGAGAAACACGAAGGTGACGTTAAAGTCAGTGAAAAGATAATAGTGCAGTGTGAAAGTGATAGTGGAGAAAGAGATATTAGTGACGCGTACAGTGTGGCTAGGGAACATCTCAACAACGGCAGAAGTGAGAAGTTGATTGGAGAGCAGCCTGATCATAGGATCAGGGCTACTGCTATTGTTGAGAACAATAAACTGACTCCTGGAGAAAAATCGGTGAAGTTTTAGTTGATAGTTTTATTATCTAACTTCGATATTATAACATGGTAATAATTGTTAAGCAATCGTTTTTATAACGTCAAAAATTTCTATCTCAAACAATGTGATACTTAAATATGTCATAGTGAGTTACATTTTACAAACATACATGAAACGGACACAAAGACACCCCAGAACAACAATTTGTGGATCACACAAAGTGTCGTCCCATGTGGGGATCGGGCCCACAACACTCAACGTTGTACGCGTTGTACTACGCTATCCGTGCAGTCAATTGTATTTTGTTCGTTCGGAAATCACAATCTGAGATAGCGTCCGAATCATTCTGCAAGAAATTAAACTTTACCATAAACTCTCAAAGTGTCATAGTCCACTCCACTGCTGATTCTAATGTGATTGTATCACATCAGTGGGAATGTGGGAATAATATAAACCAAATATAAATATACCACCTACATTGCGCATGATTGGGAACGTTATTATTACCAAACCAATACATGAGAAATATTAACATTTTTATTAGTATCTGTCGACATGTCGACGGTAGGAAACAATTTTGTTGCATTTAAAAATATCCAATTTTACACTAGAGACCAAAAAAATTTCTCAAAAACTCGTAAAGTATTCATATAAACATTAGAAAAACTAGAAGAAAATCGATGATCATAAACTTTTTTCTCATAGGAAGCCTTCGAATTTTCGAACAACGATATTCCCCCCTTCTACGATTCTAATAGTACCTACCTATAAATTACAACATCAATAAAAAACAATAAATCGATAGTATTTAAAGGTCATAAAATAGATACTTAATTATTACTTAGAAAGTAATTGTAGGAAATGAACATTGGTTAAGCGCAAGGTTACATATCGATAACCGTACTTATTGGCTGTGTAACTTGACCATATATTAAGTTACTGTACTTTAACTTGATATTGATTATGGATTTAATTGTGAAGTATTTGAAGGGCTTGCTCAAGCTAAGAATGGTCTGAGCCTTGGATTTTATTCAACTTCAGAAATAATTCGATTTTTAATACTTCTAAGATTTTCAAATGGTCAGTTTAGATTACTACACTGGTACAACAAAAAGTGTGGTTTAATATCGATATTATTGATAATTTGTGTTTATTATTGCTCTGTGACACAGTACAGTTAGTTACATAAAACAATATATTATTAAATATTGACCATGTAAATGACATGATTTGAAGCATAATATAATAAAATGTTATCTAACTGCTTTAAATGAATCATAGCTTTATCCATCAACAATAGCATTCATTCATTATTTCATACCCATAAAATGTTTACGTTCGTTTTTCATAATTGCAAATGATTTATAGTTCTTCACCTTATTATGTGACTTGGTCACCAGTTTCCTTGCAGACAGTAGCATTAAGCACGTTATCGACGGTGCATGCTCCGTCATGAAATCCGTAAATGCTGGTGTCCCGCAAGGCTGTGTGCTACACCCACACTATTTCTTGTGCATATCAATGACGTGCTCCAAACTAGTAGCATCCATTGCTATGCAGATGATAGCACGGGAGATGCCTTTTATACCGGCCGCCCCAATATTTCTCAGGAAAACGTCATCAAGAGCCGAAACAAAGTTGTGTCTGAAATTGAAACTTTCTTATTGGAGGTATCAGATTGGGGTCGAATCTGATACCTAATCTGATACCTGTGCCTTTTGTGGGTTAAAATAGACTAGAGTCTATTTTAACCCACAAAAGGCACAGGTTTGCGCATTCATTCAAAAAAGATACCGTTTGTCGTATCTGAAGACATTTTGAGTTGACTTAACAGTTTTTGCAATTTTGTGTTAATTCAAAAAGCCGATGCAGTAAACTGCGCCTATGATAATAACTTGATGCAAGGACTGTAGGTCCTACCTCGTTGCTTACAGACACACGACAGACTGATAGAAATACCCACGTGAGCAAAACCTATTGTGTATTGTATTCTTAATAAATTTGACTCGCAAAGTTTTCAGTTCTAATATTAAAAAATTCGGATTAAGAATACGGAATGTCACAACCCCTATTCATCCCGTGGGTGTCGTAAGAGCCGATTAAGGCTGCAAACTACGTAGCTGTTGTCCTGCCACTGCAAAGAGAAGGAAAACTAGACACAAAACCCTTTTTTTTTTTTTTTTTTAACGTGTGGAAATCCCCTCGGACCGTCACCCCTCCGGGGTTTGCGGCGGGGTGGTGTGTCGGACTCGGACCGACTAAAACCACACGGTGTGCCACTCTGCGCCTGTAACAGGAGGGATCCGGGAACAGCTGTTGTTGTGCTGTGGCACCGTGCGACTAACGTGTGACTTCATGTGCTAACAATTTAAATATTGTTTTCTGTTTTTTCTGCGACTAGTTTTCGGCTTGCGGGCGGCTAAAGGTTGTGTATAGTGTTTTAAAGAAAGTCAGTAAGTTTTTATTGTTTTTAAACAGTAATATAGTGCTGAATTATTTTATTACGACTATTGGTGAGTAAATTTATTTTCTTTCTAAAAGTGGGTAGGAGGTATCCTTTGTTTATATTGATTTTTCTCTGCGTGTTATTTATTTTTAAACCTGTTCCTTTTGAAATTGTTGTTTGGTGTGTCTTTGTTTGGCTATGTCGGTCGTTAGCGAGTTGCCGGACCCCGGCGGTACAAGTGAATTTCTAACACCAACCGGGAAAAGGACATTTATCGAAATGTCACCTACTGGTTTCTCGCCGAAAGACAGTAGCCGTAGGCGCGTTATTAATTCGGACTTAAGTAGTAATGTTTCGTCTCCTACTGGTCGTGATAACTGTGGGGAGTACAACTACTGTGACTTAGTATCACAGGCCACTGATTATTTAGCAAAAATTAATGAATTAGTTAATGATCAGGGATCTCGGATGAATGTAGGTAATAAAACGGCGATTATGGATATTACTCAACGAATTACCGGTATCGTATCTTTGTTAGCAATAAAATCCTCTAGCAACGAAACGAAGTTAGCGAATTTTGAGCGACAAATGGAGGGTATCGCAACTCAACAAACGAGTTTAACGTACGCGGACAAACTTAAGCTTCGATTACCACCTAAATCTGCTCCGTGCCCGGTACCTACTGAAGCGCGCGTTCCTAGGCCTTGTGTCATTGCCTATCCCACTACGGAACGCCTAGCGGACTATGCGACCTCGTCAGCAACAAAACAAGCTCTCATGAAGGCTATTAAACCGAGCGATGAGGGATTTCAAATTGTAGGCGTTAAAAAAACCTCTAAGGCAGGCGTCGTGTTACGTGTAGCTAACGAACGGCAGCTTAAGAAACTGGAATCTGTGGACGCCATTAAATCAGTAGGGTTGCGCTTAGAAAAACCGAAAGGCCGTAGGCCCCGTATAATTGTAAAAGACGTACCCGGTTCTATGGAAGATCGTGCCTTCCTAACAGCCTTATACCGTCAGAATATCAAGGACGAATTAAAATTAAGTGAGAACGATTTTATTAAGTCAGCCAAAATTGTTAGGCATCGTAAACTAGAAAATGGGCGTCAATGGATAGGCTTAGAATTAGAGGCAGCAGTTCGGAAACATCTAGCCAACACAAAAGATAAACTTTATATAGACTGGGCCACATGTAGATTCATAGACGATATAGAAGTAGTTCGTTGCTTAAATTGTCAGCAATTCGGTCATGTACAAAAGTTTTGCACCATTAAAACCCCTACTTGTGCTAATTGCGCCGCCGCACACGAAACGCGAGCTTGTCCAGATAAAGACACACCAGATTTTAAGCCCACGTGCGCACAGTGTAAGCGGTTCAAAAAACCATCTGACCATCGATGCGGCTCATACGACTGTGCCACATACAAATTAAAACTGGAACAGCTAATATTAAATACCAATTACTGAATAGTTTAACTTAGTTTAAAAAAAAAAAAAAAAAAAAAAAAAAAGTTTAAAGAGTAACTTACTAAGTAATGAATAATATTTCGATAGGCCAGTTAAATCTTCATAACGATAAAATAGCTACATCAGAATTAGACCGTTTAATTTTAGAACAAAAGTTAGACATTGTCCTTTTACAAGAACAATATCAGAGCGCTCACTTGCGTCGTAATGTAGTACAGCTTGACTGCCGTTCGCAGGCTGGGATATATGTTGCAAGTTCTAATTTTACGGTAACATCTTTGCGTAATCTTATGACGTCACACTGCGCCGTTGCTGAGATCTCATCCTCTACCTGTAAGGTTTACGTAGTGAGCTGCTATTTTCAATATTCACATCCTATTGATCCTCACTTACATCACTTACGTTACGTCTTGCAGTTCCTCGTGGGACATAAAATTATCATTGGCGCTGATGTCAATGCGTCATCTTCATTATGGTATGGCAAGTTGCGTTCAACCGACACGGTTCGACGTTGTGCGGTTGAAGATTTCATTGCGGAAATGAATCTTATTATTCACAATACCCCCGATGCACCACCAACTTTTTGCAACCCAATGGGTGAGTCTTCTATTGACGTGACGCTTACGCGCGGCGACGTCTCGATATCCGGATGGCGTGTCCTTCCGGACGCATCCTGTAGTGATCACCGCTTGATCGTGTACGAATTCATACCAAGGGTTGCACAGGATCCACAAAAGGCTCCCTATAATTTTAGATATAAAACTAAAGGTGCGAACTGGGCTTTGTTTGGTTCACTCTTTGCAACTCATACCAAAGACTTCAGTCGCAGTAGTTTATCAGCTGAGGAAAGCGCAGAAATACTATCAGAAACTTTTACATACTGCGCTGATGTAACTATTGGTCGCGGATCTATCACTAACACTCGTAGATGTGATTGGTGGAATGATAGATTAGCCGAACTACGTAGAAGCTACCGGAAAGCTCGTAGAAAATTAAACACTATTAAAAAACATAACGTAACAGGAGATTTGTACAACAATGCTCTCATTGCTCTTAGAGTTGCCAGGTCCCACTACAGAGCTGCTGTGGAAAAATCCAAGGGAAACTTAATTCAGAA